AGATGGGGCTGCCTGCATCCTGGGCCAGACTTGCAGGCCAACTTGGGTTCAGCCAGTGACAGCCTGGCTCAGGGGAGCCCAAGGAATGGAGAATGCCATGGCTGGGTTTCTTCACTGCTGCCAAACCTCCAGCTACGCTTGGCTCTTCTTCCCCTTGGCTACCAGTCGGCAAGAAAGCTGGAATGGGTGACTTTGGGCAAATCCTTTAACCTTGCTGAGTCCCTACAGGGCTTTTCTAAAGATTAACTAATGGTGTGGAGATGTTTTTCCTAGAATATGCCCAAAGACACCTGAGGCGCTTTCATGTGCTGCAGGCCAGGTGTGAGAGCAGGGCTAAGGGCTTGGAGCCTGAGGGAGAAGGCATCTACTGCTGGCTCTGAGAATGGTCCACCTGACTGCTAGAATACAGCAATGCAACTGTCAGAAGGCAGGGCACCCCAGAGCTCCTGAGAACAGGTTTCCAGTGGTGTGCTGAAGGCCAGTTCCCCTCCCTCACTGCCTGACCCACAAATGGAATCGGAGACACAGAAGGTAGCAGGAGCACCCAATTAGCACTGTTGTGTCTTCTGGCCAAATCATAAGAGAACAGGAATGGCAGAGATGCTCCCTTTGAACCTGAAATCCTTTCTAAACTGCCACTGTAGCACTAGTGAGACTATAGGGCAGCAGCAAGAGGAGTCCCTCAGGCCATCCTCAGGAGGTCATAAAAAACCTATTCACTCCTTACCTTATCCTGATGCTTACAAAAATATTGTGGCAATATAGGTCAGTGAACTGAATGGCATCACAGGAGTACAGGCCCCAACAGCCTGCCCACTGGCCTACTTGGTCAAATGAGAATGTAAACAATAAATGCTGAGAACCCTCCACTTCCTGGCCCTAGGACTGTGTTTATGTAGCACTTAAATCAACTTTGGGGTCTTCACTGTCTGCCATGAAGCTTTCTGAAGTTGTCCTACAGTTAATAAAATTAGTCTGCCCTCATTGCAAGACCCTGGCTTGGGAAAAGATGGATCCTCTGCTGTCTCTGTGGCACTTAGCTTTTTAAGCTAACATTTAAAAACCAAAAGAAAGTACGGTACAGGGAGAAAATGTAGTACAACGTCTTGTGAAAGGCCTTTTTGGTAATGCTTAGCACACCTGCCACCCCAGGGCTCTAGTAACCGGGAAGCCCAGTGCCAGGCCATGGGAAAGGCAAGCAATGAGTTATCTGTGTTTCAGCCTGAGAGAGACCAACATTGGGTATGTGAGACAGCTAGACCCAGAGCAGGCTGGGTGGCTCACTCTTTGCTGAGTATATCTCCCAACCACACATCTACCTAAGTGATTTATCTCCAAAGAACCAAGAGCCACCTTCTCTTACCAGTCTTTCTGTCCCTACCTCCATATTATGTGCATATTTACTGGGACCTTCCATGCGTCAGCATGAGGGCTATTGAGACAGCTGCCAGACTCTTGGGGCAGGAGGGGTCTGTCATGGAGAAAGCTGCCTGAAGAAGGGCATACCCAAGCTGAGCTGGGAAGAGCGTGGAAGGGTTGGAGGGAGGGAAGGAAATGCAAAGGGACATGAGGAAATTTGGAAGGTGGTAAATATGTTCAGCAGCTTGATTGCGGTGATAGTTTCATGAGCATGTACATATATCCTAACTTACCAAATTATATACCGTAAATATGTACATGCTGTTGTATATCAGTTGTGCCTCAATGAAGCTCTTAAAAAATGAAAGACCACAGACACAAGTGAGCACTGCACATATCCCAGCAACCATGGTGAAGTGTGCATTTGGGATTTACTCCTGCATTCAGGGAGCATCCAGTGAGGGAATGCACCCATGGAGCAGAGAGTCATGTTTCTGCCTTCATGGACCTTGTATCCTGGTTGGGAACAATGAGGAGTAACAGATAAAGCTATGATATAAGTCAAGGGTACGCTAAGGATTGAGAGGCTAAAGGGATGCTCTGCACTCTGAAGACAGGCCAAGGAGTTGCAGAGACATGGGGTAGGGCGAGGGGACAGGGTGTAGTGAACCATGGCCTCTGGGGACACTGTAGGCATGAAGTCCTTGACTAGGGCCCTTGCTGGGCATTAGGAGCTGGCACAGAGATGGGACACCTCTCTCTGCCAGTGCACAGTCCACAGGCAGCGGGACAGAGGGGGATGTAAACATCACCTTTCTTTAGGACATGCATGAGTCCCTTGAGACAGGAGCTTTGATTTGCTCTCAACTGTATGCCATGGACATGGCAGGCTCTTACTGGAAGAAAAGCATGGTAGTACTATGAATGTGGTGAGCACTTACTATCTGAGGTAACACCTGCCTGTGTTGCTTGTTTGGTCCCACTAGTGCCTTTAGAAGGCGGTTCTCTGAGTAGGATGAAATCTCCTTGTGCAAGAACTTTTCTTTTTCATTTCTTAGCTAGCTGCTGTGCCAGGGCAGGTCTTGCATCTCAGCCACCTTCCACTTCTCCAACTTGGCATGAGTCAGCTGTAGTCTTGCTCTGCTTTGCAAAGGCCCAGCAGACTTGGGCTTGCATTTCTACTGTGCTTCTGACTCAGGCGGCTGCAGCTCACTCAGGTCTTGTTTCTGAGCTCAGCTCTGCCCTCTCAAGTAGGAATGGAAACCCTTGTAGACAAAGGTGCTTCAGGGGTCAGTAGGACCCCGATGGCCTTGTTGAGCATAGGCCGAGGGACTCTGTGTATTGAGCGGCTGAGGGGCTCTGAGGATTGGGGGACTGCGGGGTTCTGAGGATTCAGGGGTTTTGAGGGGCTGAGGTGCACTAAGGATTGAGAGGCTAAAGGGCTCTGAAGGACTAAGGGTCTAAGGGTGCTTTGAAGGTTTAGGACTGAGGGACTCTGCATATTGAGGGGCTGAGATGCAATGAGACATTTTCTTTCTCTTCAGCAGCAGAAATGAGCTGGGGACAGGAAAAGACAATGTGTGCCTTCAGTCATGGAGAATGTGGAATGAATAGTCCAGAGCCATTGGGTCCTGGGCACCTACTGTGCCTGTCAAAGCTGCTGAATATGAATGGGTGGGCCCAACTCTCAGGGTACTGGGGTCCTGGGAGCTGGTAAGCCTGGGAAAGCATTTGGGGCCAGTGATCTGTCCAGACTGTGCTGTCCTGCAGATCTAAGAAACTGTCTGCATTCGGTTTGCCCAGCAGTCTTACTGGGTACGTGCTGCAGTGGGAGCAGCAGTGCCCACAAACAGGGCAGAGCCTGGAGGAAGGGCAGAGCCCACAGCAGCCCCAGCCTGCAAGTGTTGCTCTGCTGGAGCCAAGTCCAGAAGGATGAGGAAGAGTTCACGTGTGGGAATGAGATTGGTGAATTGTAAAGGGCTGTGCAAGTGGAAATGATTATTTTTATCATTATTTGTATCCAATTCATCCATCACCGAAGAGAGGAGGAATGTGGGTACCTTTTATCTGGCTCTGTGAATCAAATAGAATAGGATATGTTTTTCCAAAAGGTTTTTAGGGTAAATGGGATAGTTTCTCCCTTTCAAAACAATCCATCTGAGGCCCTTAGATGAATCTTGGGCAGAAGCAAGATGTTTCTGAAGCGGAGGACAGCCCAGCCCACAGGGGTCCACAGGAGTGTTTGAAAGGGAGCCCTATGGAGACAGCAGGTCCCACTACTGGCAACACCTGTGGCCTCCATACTGTTGCCCATACCAGCACCTGCTCGAACCAGACCCTGTCTCCAGAAAGAACCCAGGCCTATGCATGGGACCTGGAGAACAAGAGAAACTCCCCAATTTCTTGTGTGGTCCTCATGCAGGACCCAGTGTGTCAGAAGCCAGGTGAAGCATAGGCCCTGCTCCAAAGAGCAGCAAATCACAGAAAGAAATTTTGTCAGCCCTGCTGAGGTCATCTAGGGGAGGGTCTGATCTTTAAAATGTATACATCCACACACACACATCTCTTCTCTTTTACACAGAGGCCAAGCAGCTTTCTAGTGTAGGCCCTGGAAAGGAGCTGAGCTGAGCAGGACAGGGAGGCCACCTGGTGGGGGTCTTCTGGCTATGCCACCTTCCCTGAAGGGAGTATCTAAGCTTCAAGTGAACTCAGGATGGGGAGAGTAACACTTCAATTTTTACCACACTCAGTCCCTTGGGGAGAAGGTCCAAGATGAACTCACAGGTCGTGACGAAATCAGGGCTGTACCTAGCTGACTTTTTCATACACATGTATGTTCCTCCTTTCATCCCAGGCCTCTGCCAAGAGGCAAAGGGGTATGAGCTCTGCAGCAGAGGGCCTGGCACAAACACTAGGGAGCTGGGAGAGATGGGACTTCTGCTGAGATAGACAGGAGGGTGTCACAGAGGAGGGGGCAGTGGCATTGTGGAGTAGATGTAGGCCAGACAATGAAGGGAGCCTCTGGGCAAAAACGCATGTACGTGTAGTAGGAGGGCTGTAGAGACCAGCTTCTCAGAGGCCCTTCATGGGAGGCGAAACAAGAAAGAGGATAAGGAGTGTTCTGGAAAGACTGGATTCAGAGTCAGGAGTACATATCATCCTCTCAGCCTGGGGTGTACAAAAGCTCTCATGAGGAAGACACCACTAGCTGTCATTAGCCTAGTATTGGGGGCATGCAGGGTATGGTAGCCGTACAGAGGCAGTTGTACACAGAGCGGCTTTGAATTCTCAGCTACCTCTGCCCTATAAGCTCTGTGACCTTGGACAGATGGCCTAACTCTGCCGTGCCTATTTCCACATCTGTAAAGTGGAGAAAGTGCCTCCCTCATGTTGCTGCCATGGGGCTAAGTGCATTGATTCACATGAAGAGCTCACAGCTGCCTGGCACACAGCCTAGGCTCTATAGGTACTGGTGGTAGTGGCTGGTGATGATGACAAGGGGCTAGCCATCATAATGGTTTCACTGCCTTCCGTTACCTAAAGATGGACTGATCACCTGGGAGGGTGTGGCAGGCCTTGGCCTTAACCTTTATGGCACACACTGATTCTTTTTCTCTCTGGGGCTGGGTGTGTGGGAACAGGTAATAGACAACTACAGCGTGATCGGCCGCTCCCTGTTCAAAAAGGAGACCAACATCCAGCTCTTTGTGGGGCTCAAGGTACAACTCTCCACTGGGGAGCTGGGGGTCATTGACAGTTCCTTCGGCCAGAGTGGCAAGTTTAAGATCCACATCCCTGGTGAGTATGGTTATTTTCTCTTGCTCTCAGGGGCTGGCAGGCCATGGAGAAATGACAGAGACAGTGCCCTGACGGTGCCCCTTGGCTCAGGGTTCTAGGCCTATCTGTGCTGATGTGTAGAGCTCAGTCTACTGTGGCCTCTGGTCCCACCAGTTTGTGGCTGGAAAGCCAGTTTGCATCCTGGAGGAGACTGGTGTGGAGTCAGCATCTGGTCAGAGCCAGGGTCAAGATCTGAATGTGAGTTCTCACTTCACTGTGACCATGTGGGGTGACATTGGATATGTCACATGGTTTGTCTGTGCAGTAGGAATAATAATACTGATCTGACAGGTGGTTTGGATGGAGAGAGTTGGTGATTGAGACCACTGCCTTGGTAAGCCAGTAGGATTTCCCAGAATGTGAGTTGCCACTGCCCTTCAAAACGAGCAGCCTCTGCTGAGCCTCCACGCAGTCTGAGTTGGGCCTGGTCCATGGTAGGGTTAAGGGTGTATGTTTGCTACTGAAAATAGAGCTGTTGGATTTCTTTAGCTCTACCATCCCTTCTGTCACTCGTACACTCTTTCCACACCTATTTTCCTGACGTCCTACTGTGTACCAGACATAGTGCTGTGGTGATGGGAGGGGATAAACACAAACACTAAGGATAGACTGATGCATAGAAGAATAAATCAGGCAGGGAATTGCTGTGTGTGCTGTCTGGACAGGGTAGTTAGTGAAGACCTCTCTGAAGAGGTCACAATGAAGTGGAAGCCTGACCGAAGGAAGGGAAGAACCCACACAGATACCTAGGGGAGAACATGCCACAGAGAGGGAGGGAGACAAGTGAGAAGCCCCTGAGGTGAGGATGGGCTTGGTGTGTGTTTGAGAACAGGACATTGAGCAGGAGTGGCCTGAACATGGAGATGTGTGGGTAGTTTTCTGAGTAAAATCTCCAGATAAGGTGGTACTCTGGCCCCTCCCAGATCCCTGGTAACTCACCAGATAAAGCCATCACCTCCACTCTCCCTAAAGCCTGGCTAGAGCCTTGCCTCTTGAATCCTTCCTAAAGCCCTGAGGCCATGTGTTGCATTTGCCCTCTCATGAGAGATGGCAGTGGTCACCGGAGGCCTACTTCCCTATACTTAGCTTTGCTGTTTAACTGGGTCTGAGGCCCTGCCAAGGTAGGGCTGAGCCTCATCACCCTTTGGAGAAGATCCTTTGGGGCAGGTGAGGCAACACTCCCTTGGGAGCCTGTAGCCCTGACACTAGGTTTTAAGTGCCTACCTAATCCAGTGCTCAGCTGCTCCAGTATTCACCTCAGACACACTGGGGCCCCCAGTGTCCTTCTCTGAGCTCCAGGGATCACACACAGGGCATGAGCCAGGCACTGCCCAGACCTCAGTCCCAAGGGCCCTGGACCAGCACCTGTAGGAGCTCTCTGGGAAGGAAGGGTTCAGCGTGCTGAGAGCGCAAGAGCAGAGCTGCCTGAAGGGAGGGGCCCCAGAACACTTGCCCTTTCCCCAGGTTGCTTGGAGCTCTGCTGGTACAAACAGTGGGGAGGGCATATCTCTTTGCTTCTTTTGGGGTAAACAGGGTTATGCTGACTTTCCCCTCAGCTCCCTTTCTTCTAGCCCAAGGCAAACTCAGAATCGGGGGTATTGCCAGAACAGGCCAAAACACAGGAGGAGGCTTGTTTGGGGACCCTGGGTGCTGGGTGGGAGTGGAGGGAGGGGAGACTTTGTGACGCTGCTTCAGTCAACTCGAGTTCACATTCCTTTGTTAGGTCAATGTTGTCTGTTTAATAGGTCTGCTTCCTGTTTGTGGCTTTTAAGCTTTTTATTAAATATAACTGGTCAGATTCCTTCATCCCACCCGCCTCCACTACCCACCCCCACCTCCTGCTTGTCTTTTCCTGCTGATTCCTCCCATAAAGAATTACTTTTAACCTTTTTGAAGTGCCTTAATTGTGAAGGACTCCTCAGTAAACCCAAGTCATCCAGTGCCAGGTGGAGGAGGACAGACCGTTGCGGCTGCAAGTGTGGAGTGCTGAAGTGGAGAAGCCTAGGGTTGTGCTGCTACAGTTTAAGGCTCCCTAGAACAAGGAGTTGCTCAGGGGGCCTGTCCCAGCCCTTGGCTTTTGGATGCAGTTGGATTCAAACACAGCTTACTGGCCTCCCTGCTGGCTCTATATGATGACCCAGCTGGGGAAGGCAGACTGGAGAGCCCTCTGGGTATCCTCCCATCCACCCCCTGACCTCCAGGCTCAGAAACTCTCTCCGGCCTCTTACCTTGGTGTCAAAACCAAATGCTGACCGGACCAAGCAGGTGTTTAAGAGGCCAGGTGGGAGATGATAGTGAGTGGTGAGGACTGTGGTCCAGCCAACACTTGCTATATGGGAATATAGGCCCAGGGATCAAAGTTTATGTGACTTAACTTTTATGAAAAATTTCCTGATTAAAAAGTAATTTGTCTGAACCAAACAAAGCATGCCTTTGCCTGGGTTTGACCCATAATGACTCCTACCTGAATTTCAGGAAGGACATTCAAGGCCTTAGATTCAGGAGTGGAAGCTGAAATGTAATAAGCAAATAATGTTTTATGGAGCTATATACACAGGCCTGAGATACAAGGCCTGGGAGGGCTGACACTTAGGCCCATTGCTTCCCAAGAAGGCACCCTTGGGGCAGAAGCATAAAATGGAGCCATAATAGCCTCTTCAACAAATGGTGTTGGGAGAGCTGGACGGCTACATGCAAAAAATTGAAATTGGATCATCAGCTGACACCATACACAAAAATAAACTCAAGATGGATCAAAGACTTAAATATAAGTCGCAATACCATAAAAGTCCTAGAGGAGAACATTGGCAGGAAACTCTCAGATATCCCACGCAGTAATTTTTTCACTGATATGTCTCCTAAAGCAAGGGACGTAAAGGAAAGAATATACAAGTGGGACCTCATCAAAATAAGAAGCTTCTGCTCGGCAAAAGAAAACATCAGCAAAATGAAAAGGGAGCCAACCATATGGGAAAATATATTTGCTAATGATACATCAGATAGAGGTTTGATTTCCAAGATATCTAAAGAACTCACTCGATTCCACTCCAAGAAGACAAACGATCCAATCCAAAAATGGGCAAAGGACCTGGGCGGACGCTTTTCCAAGGAGGAGATACAGAGGGCCCAGAGGCATTTGAAAGGATACTCAGCATCACTAGCCATCAGAGAAATGCACATCAAAACCACCATGAGGTACCACTCACACCGGTCAGAATGGCCATCAGAAACAGATCAACAAACAACAGGTGCTGGCGAGGCTGTGGAGAAAAGGGAACCCTAGTACACTGTTGGTGGGAATGCAGACTGGTGCAGCCACTGTGGAAAGCAGTGTGGAATTTCCTCAGAAAGCTGAAAATGGAACTGCCTTTTGACCCAGTGATTCCCCTGCTGGGACTATACCTTAAGAATCCCAAAACGCCAATACAAAAGAACCTATGCACCCCAATGTTCATAGCAGCACAATTGACAATAGCCAAGTGTTGGAAGCAACCTAAATGCCCATCAGTAGATGATTGGATCAAAAAATAATGGTACATATACACAATGGAATACTACGCAGCAGAAAGAAAAAAAGAACTACTAAACTTCACGACAGCATGGATAGAACTTGAGAGCTTTTTGCTAAGCGAAATAAGCCAGGGAGCGAAAGACAAATACCATATGATCTTACCTATAAGTGGGACCTAACCAACAATACAAAGATGCAAGGAAAATAAGACCAGCAACACTGAAAGGAAAAGAAATCAACAGAGACAAGACGGAAGGAGGGAGGGGGGGCGGGGAAAAGGAAGGGGAAGGGGAAAGTCAAGGAACATACAGCAAGGACTCATGGACAAAACCAAAGGGGAAGAGCTGAGGGAGGGAGGGAAGGAAAATGGTGGGGGTAGGCAGAGACAAATGTATTTGAAATAATTAATTAATTAATTTTAAGAAAGAAAAAGAGACTATTAAAAAAAAAAAGAAGAAGGCACCCTTGAAAATTACAATAGCTTGAAGGATGGATGGCTCACTCTGACACCCAAGGAGCTTTCCCAGACAGTCTTAGGGGACCTCAAGGTTGAAAAGCCCCACATTTTATATAACTGCTCCTTCAATGAAGTTGCCTCTATGAGGCTGGGAGGCTCTTTAAAATGACTTAGGAACCTTCTGCGTAGCATTGCTGGTAGAGAGAGTAGTTGGAGGACTTTGCCAGGTGGAGATAAGCTTTCTTTAGACAAACCTTACTCTTACCCATGCCATCACATCACTGTGCTTCCTGAGTGCTGCTTCAATGCCAGGTGCTTTATGTCAGAGCTGGGTCTTGTTATCTGCACCTCAAGGTGGGGCCTGCAGAGAAGAGGAATGTGTGCCTTGCCCACAGTCTTTCTGGGTGTGCAGCGTCTGCCTTCCCCAGTCGGCCTCTAACACGCTGTCAGGACTTCAGAGAGCTCGGCACTGCACCATGGGGCATACACATAATTAGAGACACCCACTTGCTGAGGGGCTGATAAAGCACAGTGGCCTGGCCTGGACTCAATGGCTCACCCTGGCCAGCACTTCTTGCTGCTCCCACCCTCCATTCTGTGCCAGTGCCCCAGGCACAAGCTCCTACGATGAAAGGCAGCCTGGATGGTGGGCTGGAACAACAGCTCCTGCTAGTCCTGCACATCCCACTGTGCAGGGGAAACACCCTCTTTCATGACATCCAACCAGAGAAGGGTCAAGTGAGGATGAATGGAATTGTCACTCTTGACAGCTGTGAGTCACTGCTTATTGACCCTAGGAGTGACAGCAAACATATGCATACAATTTCATCTTCTGAGACACTGTCCAGTAAAATGACCAGTACGTTGTTATGTGTGCTTTGATAGGATGCAGCAAGCTTTTTGAGTGGTCCAAATTTGTTGCAAGTGGTCCATCTCCCACAAGATGCTGGACTAACAATTTGGGGAGGGCTGTGTATAGTCTGCATTAGCACT